TCCGTAGGAAGAACATTGAGTATTTCTTTTAAAAATATGTTGGGCTGGGTATGTAGTTCAGCGGTAGTGCGCTTGCCTAGCTTGTAAGTTGCTCTAGGTTTGATCAGCACTGGGGGAGAAAATATTTGGTTTCATAGTTGAACTTCAGGACCCTGGGTAAGTAAAGGAAAGTTGACCTTATTTAATCTCCCTTTCTCCCTCCCTCCCCCTAGCCCCTCTTTCTCTCCTGCCTCCCTCCTTCCTCCTCTCTCCTCTCTCCTCATTGAGACAGTCTCACTGGATAGCCTTGACTGTTCTAGAACTCAAGAATTCATCATGTAGACAAGGCAAACGTGGAACTCACAGAGATCCTTGTGCCTCTGCCTCTGCCTCCTGAATGCATCTGGCAATAAAGGTGTGTGCCACCACACCTGGTTTATTTAGTCTTCCTAAAATTGAACCAGGAAGGTTCAACAAAATAAACCTTCCAATAAATCCTTTGTGTTCCTATGTTGATCTTGATAGTTAGATCTCCATAACCTTGGGCTCTTGTCTGCTTGTTTTTATTGTTATTTATTTTAGCAAACAAAAGGGGGGTATAATTTGTGAAAAATTGGCTAAGCAATAGGAATTAGAAGTCAGTGCAGTCTAAATCCCTAAATTCTGTGGTTCAGAAGAGGGTTAGTACATTGTAGGTACTGCAGAATAAACAGCTAGTGTGGACTCTGAAGAACAATGTCCATTTCTCAATGCAAGTTTTTTTTATTATAAAAACTTTAAATATTGTTGATTAGTTGTGTGTGGGTGGGGGAAGAAGTGTGTGTGAGTGTAAGGGTGCAGGTGCCATCGAACACATGTGGAAGTCAGAGGACAGCTCCAGGAGTTCGGTTCTTTTTCCCCTGAATTCTAAAAATCAAGCTCAGGTGGTCAGGCTTGCACAGCAAGCTCTTTCACCCACTAAACCATCTCGGTGGGGGTCCAATACAAGTGTTTTTAATCAGTTGCAGTGGTTCTCAACCTTCCTAATGCTGCAGCCCTTTAATGCAGTTCCTCGACAGGTGGTGGTGGCAGCGGCTCACACCTTTAATCCCAGCACTTGGGAGGCAGAGGCAGGTGGATCTCTGAGTTTGGGGCTAGCCTGATCTACAAAGTGAGTTCTAGGACAGCCAAGGTTATACAGAGAAACCCTGTCTTGAAACACACACACATTTTTCCCCCTCATGTTCTGGTGATCCCCCAACCATAAAATTATTTTTGTTATTTACTTTATAACTGTAGTTTTGCTACTGTTATGAATTGTAATTAAATATTTTTGGAGACAGTAGTTTGCCAAAGGAGTCATAACCCACAAATTGAGAACCACTGAGTAAAAGGAAAATAGCAAGAATTGTTTTTTGAAAGATGATTTCAATTGTATAACAAAGAAAGTTATTTCAATATTGGTTCTGTGTTTCCTGTTGCCCAAAGTTGACTGATATTTGAACAAAATTCCTTGAGACACTCAAACTGCAGTAAGCCCTTGAGTAATTGCCACTGTTGCCTAACGTAACATTGAGCAGTATTTGAGAATATTCAGTGAATGCATTTTTCTCTGCTCAGCCTCTTTAGTTCCTCCTAGTGGTTTTTTTCAGTAAATATTTATTATACACCTGACATGCTCCTCACTGTGCTGATAGGCAGTGTGGGTGAAAAGCTGTTGGAACATTCAGCAGTGGTAAAGCATAGCCAATGAGTGATATCTTGAGTTTTAAATGTATATAATAGGAACACAGGAAAGAAATCTGCTTCCACTACTCTAGGACACAGAAGCTTCTTAGAGATCTGGATCTTCATTCTGAGTCTTGCACAGAGAAGTTCACATGAGGTTTAAAGATGAAGCAAGGTAGAGGCAACAACCTGGACAAGGCCTGCAGAGATGAGACAGGTTGTGAGATGTCCACTGTGGCTCTGCAGTGCCAGATGTGGAAGGGTTATTGGAAATTAAGTCAGGAAGATGAGGGAGGCAAGACAGTTGAGGGATCACACAGTGAAAATGGACTTTACTCTCACAAGTGTTTTTCCACTATTTGTGGCAATGTCATTTAATATTTTGATTTTCGTGTGTGTGTGGGGGGTGGTGGTGATGATAAACTGGCATTGTAAGTGAACAGTAACAGGGAGGTTTATCCTTTAGAAGGACCATTAGATTGATAATGGGAAGAATGAATTGAAAGGAGGCTATAATAGAAACTATCTATGGAATACTTGTAAAGTAGTCCATAAAAGATGGAACCCTGAAAAGGGATTAGAAAGAAAGGGCCCATCTCCCACAAAAAGAATAGATTAAGAATAGGTTGTTGTGAGGGGGAAAACAGAACTAGGTGGCAGGTGGGATATAAAGGTATAAAGAATGAAAAAGAATCATTCAAGACTGAGCCTAGGAAACCACCCATCCATATGTGTGTTCTGCAATACCTAATCTGCCTGAACTATTCACTTTAGTGGCTTATTGTATACCATATTATCCAGTTTAAGTGCAAGATTATTGACCTTATTTTATGACTGATTTCTTTTCATTCTTGCTTTCACACATTTCTCTCACTACTATACCCTGCCTAGGTGGTAGCAGGAAGCCTTTCAAAGCATCTTGAGATGCCAAAGACTGTGCCAAGTGCTCTGCATGAATTGTCCTGTTTTCCCACACAAAGACTTCATGTTGTACAGTGCTGTCTTGATCATCCTTGGTGTGTGTGACCTGTGGATAAGGACATCAAGGCTCAGAGGAATTAAGTTACTTGCCTAGTGTCATACCAAGTTCTTACCCTGGTAGAACCAAGTTTTGAAGTTATTTCTCTTGCTGTCAGAGTCCATGGTCTTTATTAAAGTGGCAAGAACACAACAGAAGGTGCTTGCTGTTGATTGGTTGAAATTGAGCATATTATATTGAAAACTGTCTAAAATTAAACTAGCTTGCCTTGCATTATTATTTATTTTGAAACCTGGAACTTAAGATCTTTCTGCTTCAGCCTCCCTAGTGCTGGGATTACATGTTTGAGCTACTACACTCATGGTTGTAGTTACTGACTGAGAAAGAAGATTATAATCTTTGAAAGATCTGAATACTTTTTGGAGAAGAAATATTCTGAATATTATACAGAATACACAGAATTTGGCTATTCATTCATTATTGCTTTTTAAAATATGTGTCTTTGTACACACACTCATATGCAGAATCCAGAGAACAGTTTGCAGGAGTTCATTTTTCCTTCTACTATATGGTTCCTGGGAATTGAACTCAGGTCATCAGATTTGGCAGCAGACACATTTACTCTCTGAGGAATTTGGCTGGCCTGGTTTTTGAGGTATGTCTAAGATGGTGTCCTAAGATGGCCTTGAACTCTTGATCCTCCTGTATCTGCCTCAAGTGCTGGGATTACCGGCATATATGTGCCATCAGACCAGGCAAGTTCACTGCTTGGAAACGCATTTCTGTCCACCTTGTAGGATTAAAATACTGGATGTTTGCCTTGGAAAAGTAGCAAGTTAAAAGGAGAGTAGGAGTTACCTTTCTATAATTGAAGCACTGTCCTGTTGGAAAAGATTCATCTTGATGGATTAGATTTGTGTGTGAAATTCTTAGAACAGACTTCAGAGCAAGAACTGTAAGGTTGAGAGGGAGTTGGCTGCGTGGAAAGGGCATGCAGTGGCTCATCTTGAAGGTCTAAAATAGGAATTGTTGCTTCTCTCCTTGTGTGTGATGGATTCTGATGCCAGGTGGAGGCTGTAAGGACCTGTCCTGTTGTGAGTTATTCACTATGAACAGGAATAGGGGACGGAAAGACACTGCGGCCTGGGAAGTGAGAGCTACAGCAGACGATAGAAAGGGGGCAGCAGGGAGGAGCGAGGGTCCAGCCTGACTCCCATTCGCCAGACCCTTCTTAGCTCACACACTCTGCTGTTGGCTCTTGTTTTCCTAAGAGATTGCTCTGAAGAGCTTGAGGAAATGTGCAGAATCACAGAGACAGGGCAGTCCTGCTTGTGTCCTAGCATCTGGCTGGAGGCATTGGGTGCTGCTACATCAGAAAAGGCCGCAGTGTGGGGCCAGGTGGGGGTAAAAGCGTTCCTCAGCTGACCTAGTTTTCTTTCTAGTAATTTCCACAATTCTCATGTCTTAAGTTGAACTAAACCTCCAACAGTAGGATTCAAGCTGAGATAATTTATCCTGTTTTGAATGTTTGGGTTTATTGCCCAGATTCCATTTTTGATCTTTACTAAACAAAAACATTGCCTTCTCAGCACTCAAATTTGATAGAGAAAAAATAGCTGAAGTTGACATGCCCTTCTTTTCTCCTGTGTCTCCCCCTTGCTGGGGAATGGAGCCAGAACCTAGCACACCAAGCCACATTCCCAGTTGTGGTTACAGTGAGAATGGTTTCCACAGGCTCATATATTTGAATGCTTGGTCCCAAACTGTTGGTAGAATGGTTTGGAAAGGATTAGGGGGTGTGTCACTGGGGATGAGCTTTGATTTTTTTTTTTGTTTGTTTGTTTGTTTTGTTTTGTTTTGTTTTACGAGACAGGGTTTCTCTGTATTGTTTTGGAGGCTGTCGGTCCAGCCTGGCCTCGAACTCACAGAGATCTGTCTGCTTCTGCCTCCTGAGTGCTGGGATTAAAGGTGTGTGCCACCACCACCAGGCTGAGCTTTGAGGTTTTAAAAGCCCCTTTCCATTCCCAGTTAGCTCTCTTTCTGCCTTGTGCTTGTGGATCACGATGTAGGTTCTCTAGCTATGGCCTTAGCACCATGCCTGCCTGTCTGTTGCCATGCTCCCTGCCTTGATGGTCATGGGCTGTAACCCAAATAAAAACCTTACTTCTATCAGTTGCCTTGATCATGCTGTTTTTTCCATAGCAATAGAATACTGCTTCACAGGAAAGAAGGGCAGTGTAGACAGCAGCTGGCTAATACCAGAGAGTTGAGCTGAAAGTTAGGGGTGTCTGCCTCTTGTGGTCTTATTCCTTACACTCACGTTTTGTGTACCTAGGTCTATCACCTGCCTGCTGTACAGACTGGACTTGACTAAGACTCCTTGAGTACCTGAGATTCTCCATTAAAATCTGCATTGGAAGCAAGAACAGGTAAATCAAGATAGTGTCATGCTCCTGAAATAACAACTGAAGGAAGGTGCAGTGACAAATACTATAGCCAGAAAGTGGGGTTCCCAGAAGGCCCATTTGTCTAGAGTGGTGGGACAGAGAAATGCCTCCAGTGTGACACACTGTGGAACACTGTCAAAAGAGTGATTCCAGAGCCTCTCACAGACTGGAAAACACAGATGCTACTGCCTGATAAGCCAGGATGGCCTCCACCTGAAAGCCTCCACTTCTCATGTGCTAAAAGTACAGATGTGTACTGCTACACCAGTACATGAGGAGTACCGATATGTATGCTACACCAGTACATGAGGAGTACAGATGTGTACTCCTACACCAGTACATGAGGATACAGATGTGTACTCTTACACCAGTACATGAGGATACAGATGTGTACTCCTACACCAGTACGTGAGGATACAGATGTGTACTCCTACACCAGTACATGAGGAGTACAGATGTGTACTGCTACATCAGTACATGAGGATACAGATGTGTACTCCTACACCAGTACATGAGGAGTACAGATGTGTACTGCTACACCAGTACATGAGGAGTACTGATATGTATGCTACACCAGTACATGAGGAGTACAGATGTGTACTGCTACACCAGTACATGAGGATACAGATGTGTACTGCTATACTAGTACATGAGGATACAGATGTGTACTGCTACACCAGTACATGAGGATACAGATGTGTACTGCTATACTAGTACATGAGGAGTACAGATGTGTACTGCTACACCAGTACGTGAGGATACAGATGTGTACTCCTACACCAGTACATGAGGAGTACAGATGTGTACTGCTACACCAGTACATGAGGAGTACAGATGTGTACTGCTACACCAGTACATGAGGATACAGATGTGTACTCCTACACCAGTACATGAGGATACAGATGTGTACTCCTACACCAGTACATGAGGAGTACAGATGTGTACTGCTACACCAGTACATGAGGATACAGATGTGTACTGCTACACCAGTACATGAGGAGTACAGATGTGTACTGCTACACCAGTACATGAGGATACAGATGTGTACTGCTACACCAGTACATGAGGATACAGATGTGTACTCCTACACCAGTACATGAGGAGTACAGATGTGTACTCCTACACCAGTACGTGAGGATACAGATGTGTACTCTTACACCAGTACGTGAGGAGTACAGATGTGTACTGCTACACCAGTACGTGAGGATACAGATGTGTACTGCTACACCAGTACATGAGGAGTACAGATGTGTACTGCTATACTAGTACGTGAGGATACAGATGTGTACTGCTATACCAGTACGTGAGGAGTATAGATGTGTACTCTTACACCAGTACGTGAGGAGTACAGATGTGTACTGCTACACCAGTACGTGAGGATACAGATGTGTACTCCTACACCAGTACATGAGGAGTACAGATGTGTACTCCTACACCAGTACATGAGGATACAGATGTGTACTCCTACACCAGTACATGAGGATACAGATGTGTACTCCTACACCAGTACGTGAGGAGTACAGATGTGTACTGCTACACCAGTACATGAGGATACAGATGTGTACTCCTACACCAGTACGTGAGGATACAGATGTGTACTGCTACACCAGTACGTGAGGATACAGATGTGTACTCCTACACCAGTACATGAGGATACAGATGTGTACTGCTACATCAGTACGTGAGGAGTACAGATGTGTACTGCTACACCAGTACATGAGGAGTACAGATGTGTACTCCTACACCAGTACATGAGGATACAGATGTATACTCCTACACCAGTACATGAGGAGTATAGATGTGTACTGCTACATCAGTACGTGAGGAGTACAGATGTGTACTCCTACATCAGTACGTGAGGAGTACAGATGTGTACTGCTACATCAGTACGTGAGGAGTACAGATGTGTACTGCTACACCAGTACATGAGGAGTACACGCGTGCTGCAGAGCCCAGGGCTTCATGAGTGATAGGCAAACACTTTACCAACTAAGCTACATCCCCATCCCTTCTCTTCGGAATTTTAATTGTAATTCTTTAAAACAGTGTAGTTTTTCCCCCCTGTAGACTATCCATTTGTCCATTATGGATGGAGGGGATGATGGCAATCTCGTCATCAAAAAGAGATTTGTGTCTGAGGCAGAACTAGATGAACGGCGCAAAAGGAGGCAGGAAGAGTGGGAGAAAGTCCGGAAACCAGAAGATCCACAAGGTATATGGACCTAGAGTGGACACTCACTCGTTTAACTCTCTCCTCCTAATGACTTATTGTCTGTCTGTTTTTATGTATGTTGTTGTTTTGCTGCATGAATGTCTGTGTAAAGGTGTCAGGTCCCTGGAACTGGAGTTAACAGTTGTGAACTGCCATGTGGATACTGGAAGAGCAGCCAGTGCTTTTAACCACTGAACCAACTCTCTAGTCCCTCATTTAACTCCTTAATTCTAGTAAAACCCTGCCAAGAAGGTGCTACTTGTCCTCTCTAGAGTTTAGGAACTGGGGCTGATGGGGTGAAGTAACCTATCTGAAGTCTCCACAGCAGAACCCTCTATTTGCCCTCTTCTCTCCACCAGTGCCTTCCAGGAGACTCTGCTTGTCTCCTCCATTGTTACAGGTGGAGGAGGCTCATTTTAAACCAAGGATGCTGCTAATAGGTTTGGGCTGGCTGCTCATCTGGTTAGCACCATGGCATCAATAGTTGCCTTTGAAAATGACCTGCCTCTTTCTGACGGAGGTGAAAAGGATGCTATGGATTTTGTGCTATTTTTGATATTTTCACCCTCAGACATGTGTAGAGACTTAACTATTTTTCCAGCTCTTTGTGATTCCAAAATAATATGAAACAACCTAAATTCTGTGCCTTCTTTATCCTGTCTTCCTTTTAGAATGTCCAGAGGAGGCTTATGACCCCCGGTCTCTGTATGAGCGGCTACAGGAACAGAAAGACAGGAAGCAGCAGGAGTATGAGGAGCAGTTCAAATTCAGTAAGCTCCGGGAAGTTCACATTTGAGGGATTCACTGGGCCTTTTGATGTACTTTGGCCTCAGGAAACGATCTGTATTACTAGCAATAGAATTGTCTTGATTATCCAGCCTCCAGAAGGTAGGCTGGTAGAAAAAGACAGTCTTCTAAGCCTCAGTGGACATTTTTATTTCTTCTTAAGATACCATTTGAGTTTTATGTTAGTATCTAGTAAAAGGAGGATTGCTAATATCTAGTATTAGCAGGAGTGCTTTGACTTCATGCCATGCTATTTATAAAAGAACCATGGTGTTTAACAGTTCTTTCTTTTAATTGCCTGAAGAATCTTGCTGCTTATTTAAAAGGAAAAGGGCCTGCAGTGTGGCTCAGTGGTACAAGGGCTTGCTGTGCCAGCTGACAACATGAGTTGATCCCTGGATCCTACAGTTGGAAGAAGAGAACTGACTCCAGAGGGCTGTCCCCTGGCTTTCATGTGTGTGCGATGGCACACATGTATACATACATCATAATAAATTTTTTTAATGTAGGAAAGGAAAAGTCAGAGAAGACTATGTTTTTTTCTTAGTCTTCTTTGTATGTATCCCTTGTTCAATTACTTTCTCAGAAAACATGGTAAGAGGTTTAGACGAAGATGAGACCAACTTCCTTGATGAGGTTTCTCGGCAGCAGGAACTCCTAGAAAAGCAGCGGCGAGAAGAAGAGCTGGAGGAGCTGAAGGAGTACAGAATATCCTTTGTGCTTGGATAGAAGTGACACGCTTTCCTCACGGATAGAAAGCAGCTTTCTACCTAGTCCTACGGTCTGTCAACACCAATGTCCCCATGACTCTGAGTGACTGACTGGCTGGAGCAATGGGGTGTGGTGCATGTGCAGTCTGTTGTTCAGAAGTCCACCTTTTCCAGGATCAACCAGGCATAAATTCTCATAGTCTCTAGCAGGATATCTTTGCCTTGTAGGGTTAGACATAGACAGATGTGCAATGTAGCTAATGTTACTGAAGGAGAAATTGGCTCCTGAGATTTAAAAGGGCATGAATTGTCTTTTGTGTGCATGTGTGTGCACAGTACATCCCTACCGAAATCAAAGATGATCACGTCCAGTGTCCTGCTCTTCTACTTCCTGCTCTATTCCCTTGAGATAGGACCTTTCACTGAACCTGGGTCCTGCTGCACTAGTTAAGCTGGCTGGCTAGTAAACCCTAGGGTCCACCTGTCTGCACCATTCCTAGATTTTACACAAGTGCTGAGGATTTGAACTTGGGTCCTTGTGCTTGCCATCTCCCCAGACCTGAAAAGGCATGTTGAAAAACATTCCTCTGCTCTTTTGTTTTTAGCAAGAGTAGACAGTCCTCCCATACCCTGGAAACTATTCCTGTAGTGGACTCAGAGAACGAACAAGATCCTTTTAATATTGCCTTGTTGGAGGCATCTACTTGTCAAACTTTTCCCTCTTTTCCTGAGATGGTCTCACTCACTTTGTCTAACGTTGGCCTCAAACTTGTGATCCTCCTGTGTCTTGAGTGCTGGAATTACAGATGTATACCATATGTCTTTGGATGTCTTAACAGGTATCTCCAAATCTAATGTAGCTGATGAAGAACTCTCAGTTCATGCCACAGTATAGTCTTTTTCTCATTCTCGGTCTCCTCTATTCTGCCTCTGCCAAAACGACTTACCAAGGGCTTTCCAGACCTATCTAAATCTGTCTGTCTTACCACTCTGGACTTTCTGTGTTGCTAGAGTTACTACTAATTAGCATCCATTTCTACTCTTATCCCCAACTTTTTTCTTTTGAGACAGAATCTCACTGTGTAGTTCTGACTGGTCTAGAATTCACTTTGTAGACCAGGCTGGCCTTGAACTCACAGAGATATGCCTTGCGTCTTGAGTTCTGGGACTAAAGATGTGCACCTCTATACCTGGCTTATATCGGCGTTCTTTCTTTCATTGGATTCTACATGACATGGAGCAGATCTATACCCACTCTTCTTCATGTCCGCTGTACTCTACCCTCTGGCCTTTAGGTTCTTTCTCATCAAATGGATTTCATTTCAAGGCCTCAAATTCATGGTTTCCTCAGTCTGAGTGTTCTTCCCTCTGATTTCCCAAGGCTAGCATTTCATGGCTTAGGTCTCAGCTCTGCACTCCTTTCCTTAAGCACCTGTGTAGTTGCGGCTCCTGATTGCTGTCTGTAACCCATTTGGTGGTACTTGGAGCGGCATCCAGGGACTTATACATTCTAAGCACATGCGCGACTGCTGAGCTCTACCCCAAGCCCCATAATTTTGTTTTAAATAGGGGAAGTTTTCATTTGTTTGCTTTGGCTCATTTTATCTCTTTACTGCTGGAATGTGAAATAAGTTCTGTACCAACCAGAATGACTAATTTTTCCTAATGCCTGGAAAGTAGTAAATTTTCAATAAATATATACATGAGTGAATAACCCATAGGAGCTTTTGGTGGGCCATCCTAACTTTCCCCTCCTGTGAGGAAGCTTATTTGGGTATTTCAGGCTTGTAAATTGAATAAAATCACTGTTCTGTTTGAACAGGATTTATCTGTGAATTGATAATTGATGGTAGGACAGTGGCAGTGTGCATCCCCATGTGACTTAGAATTCACTATGTAAACCAGGCTGGCACATAACACACAGAAATCCATCTGTCTCTGCCTCCCCTGGGCTTAAAGGTGAGTGCCGCTATGCCCGGCTTGATGGAAGGATTGTATTTATGCAGCTGGTGTTTTCCTGCAGACAGTATACAGTAGATCCACTACAGAGTTGCATGGGAGGAAATGTGGGCAGATGCTTTAGAACTTAATGTCAGTCAGGACTGGAAGCATAAATACTGGCTGCCTGTCCTGGTTCTGTTAGTTGCATTTGGGTACAGTCTAGGCTGGGAGTTGGTGCAAAGTTACCCTCAGTTTCAACTGTAAACTTAAGATTGACTCTTCTTTTTCTTTTTTTAAGATTTATTTATTTATTATATATACAGTGTTCTGCCTGTATATATACATGCAGGGCAGAAGAGGGCACCAGATCTCATTACAGATGGTTGTGAGCCACCATGTGGTTGCTGGGAATTGAACTCAGGATCTTTGGAAGAACAGTCAATGCTCTTAATCACTGAGCCATCTCTCCAGCCCCAAGATTGACTCTTCTGAACCTCCACCTCTGCTCCAGGATTTCAGAATACTATTATGAGCTGACACATTTGTGGAGATCAGCAGATCTTTCTGTGTCATGTTTCAGACACCAGGCTTTTCTCCTCTAAGAAAATATATTATACTTTTCACATAAATTGTTATATTTTAGGTTGGCAGATTAACAGATAAATGTCCACCAGAGGAACATTCTAGAGAGTAGTACTAGGAATGTAAAATGCTCTTCTGTTTTCAACTTAAAGGAAGGAAAGAACAGGACACTCTTCTGCTTGGTGGCACCATAGTTGAGGATTAGAAAGGCTTCAAGGTGTTGGCTTTAGTTGGAAACTAGGAAAGTTCTTATAAGATGTCTTGCAAGACTGAAGAAAAGCAGGTCCTTTGCAGATATATATATATACTGATTCCAAACATCCTAGTAGCCGGTATGTGGAGACAGGACTGGAGGGATTGGATATTTATTTATGGACACTCTAGATTAGAATCTGATGATTAGCTTTGCTCTTTGACACGGTGTATTCTATAATGTAACACTAGTGAATACAGATGAGCTATGACTTATGTCATGTAAACAGTAGTACTCATTCAGATTATGCCAGTATTTAGTGAAGTTATACATATCCAAAATTGTATAATGAAAAATGCCTTATCTGGAGAATGAAGAGATGACCCAGTCTTTGACTTGCTTTTGCAGAGGACCTAAGTTCAGTTCCCAGAACCCATTTGACATAGTCCCAGGGGATCTGATGTTCTCTTCTGATCTCCACAGATGCTGCACACATACGGTATACCTACATATAGGCAAACAGACATTCATATACATAAAATAAACTTTAAAAAAAAAAACACCTTAGGTAGGTGGTGGTAGCTCATGCCTTTAATCCCAGCACTCAGGAGGCAGAGGCAGGTGGTGGATCTCTGTGAGTTCAAGACCAGCCTGGTCTACAAGAAGTAGTTTCAGGACAGCCTCTAAAGCCACAGAGAAAAACCCTGTCTCGAAAAACCAAAAAATAAAAATAAATAAAATACATATATTGCTTAAGACTGAAAAGGTGGCTCAGCAGTTAGAGCCTAATGGCCTGAGTTTGATTCCTGAGATCCATATAGTAGAGAGACCGACTCCTGAAAGTTGTCTTCTGACCTCTATACCTTTGCCTGGAAGTGTGCAGCCACTGTGGTGGTGGACGTGAGGGATGCACACGTGCTTAAACGTAGTTTTAAGAAAATGAAAATTTAGGGCTGGCAAGATGGCTTAGTCGTAAAGACATTTGTCACCAAGCCTGATGACCTATGTCTGGTACCTAGTTTTCTCTATTTTCCAAAGGCTGCTTCTTAGATTTCTTGGGCACTAGATGTCACTGTTGTGCAGGAAGGCACTACTGCATCCTAGCAACGTCAGGGTGTTTATGTGCTCAGTAAGTTGTGAAGAAGAGCAGGGAAGGGATGGAGCGTGGTGCTAGTGGAGAGAAGAGCAGGAGTGACAAAGCTTGTGAGCTAGCGATGAGCATGATGTGACGAGTGCTCTGCTCAGGGCTTTTTCTCCCTCTTTATGGTACTGGGGAGTGAACATAGGGCCTTGCGTATGCTCGGCAATCTCTCTACCACTAAGCGACATTCCAAGCCTTTTTCTACTTTTTAGTGTGAGACAGGATCTTTCTAACTTTGCCAGGCTGGCGTGATCAGTCTGTAACTCAGGGTAGAGCTTAACTCTAAGATCCTCCTGCCTTATCCTCTCAGGTAGCTGGAATATAGACCTGTATCATCAGGTCCAGCCTGTCTGCCTGCCTGCCCCCCCCCCCAAGTGTGCGCGCGCGCGTGCATGCGTGTGTGTGTGTGTGTGTGTGTGTGTGTGTGTGTGTGTGTGTGCGCGCGCGCGCGCGCTATTATGCGTGTGTACATGTGGAAAGCCACAGTACAACTTGTAGGAGTCTGTTCTCCCTTCTACCATGTGAGTTCTAGGGATTAAACTCAAGCACTGTGGCAAGGGCCTTTACTCCCTGAGCCATCTTTCCAGCCACAAAACAACGATCTTAAGGAATATAAAGGAAGTTGAAAAATTATATATGACTTCCTTAGATAAGTGTCACCTCCCAAGGATGAAACTGAGTTTTACAGAATGCCCTCATGACTATCGGTGACATTCAGTTGTCAACAGTGAGGAGCAACTTGTCCTACTGGTGCTGTACCTCAAAGTACTTCCACTGAGAAGATTTTAGATGAGATGTCTACAGACATATCACAAGAGTCCAAAAAGCATAAGCAAGGCAGAGCACATTCAGGAGTTTGTAGAAAGAGGTTACTTAATGAAACAAGTCTTGAAAACAAATCCTGAGGTTGTCCTGATCTCCACACGTGCACACAATGACACGAATCATGCCTGCACTCAAGAACGTATGTGCACATACACACAGGATCTGGTGGTTTAGACCCATATCCCAACCACTTGGGAAGCCAAAGCAGGAAAGTCCTGAAGTTCTGCCAAGGGTGCTTGTGGGCTCTATTTGTCCGCTGGATTTACCTTTTGCTTTGTAGCATTTCTTCCTTTCGCTTAATCTGATCCTTAACCTGTAACTCACAGTAATCTCAACAAGGTTGGAATTTCTGCAGAAAATAAGGAAGTCGAGAAGAAGCTGGCTGTGAAACCCATAGAAACCAAGAACAAGTTCTCCCAGGCAAAGCTGCTGGCAGGAGCTGTGAAGCATAAGAGGTCAGCCAGTGTGCACACGGTGTAAATCCCTCTGGTCACGCCCTCTGAAATGCCACCCAGTGCAAATGGTTATTCAGCACGTTGTTGTGACAAAGCCGTTAGTGGGCTTGCCTTTCTCTCTCCTGCCAGATTTAGTGTCCCTGTAGCCTTTGACCCTAGACTCATTCACCTGACATGTAGCTCTTTTTTATTGAGCGACTGCAGTGTGTCAGATTTCCTCTAATGATCTCACAAATTCTTGTCACCAGTTCCACAGTGTCATTTATTAAGACCCGTTTTACAGATGGAAGGACAACTTGAGAGATGAAGAACTTTTGTCCAAGGTCATACAGTAATAAAATAGTTCAATGTTGGAGCTTTTGTATCTCTAGGCAAATGAAGCAGCAGGTGCTTCAGGATTGTTGCTGGTGAGTGGTGACAGCATGGAGGAGGAGCACAGCTCTGCTGGGAAGTGAGAGAGGGGTTTAGAAAGATGTTGATGGGGTAGGGCACCAGGGCTCTGACAGGCAGGCAAGGAGAAAACAACAGAGAGGACAGCTGCTACAAAGGCATTGCGAGAATTTGGCAGCTGTGACAGGGCTGTAGGCCTGGCTACAGCTCGTTTTGACTGATGTGGGGGTACAGCACTACCACAGATTCTGATAAGTTCTTTGTCGCATTTGCTCTTCCCTTTTCAAACCCTGAAACGGCATCAGAGTGATTGAATCAGCTTGACCAACCAGACCGTGGGCGAAATGATGTTAAGTGCAGTCTCTTAGGAAAATCAATATGGTGTACTGGCAACCAGCCACATGTTTTGAATAGAGTGTATTGATGCAGTCTTGCGGTTTGGCACAACATCTGTCTGCTGCAGATGTTCCTAGGAACACTGAGCACATGTAAAAATGTCATCGTGGCACAGCAGCGCAGGGGGTGATCAGTGGTCTGAGGAGGAACCTTGAAAAGCCATGAATCTTTTAACATCCATGTAAGTTCCCCAAAGTACATTGCTCTCAGAATCAGACCTGGGCCAGTTTGATGAGCTCTCCAGTTGAGCAGTTACCTCCTGGGTATTCTTGCTGTTGCCAAGTGGGTATTTCAACTGTCTCCCTTGATTAGCCTTTATATCATACTTAGGAAGGGTTCTGTTAGCTTCTTTGTTGGTCTGTATAGAGGCTCTCTTGGGTTTTCAAAGTACATCATTTAATGTTGCTTTTGTAGCAAGGTGACACATTAGTTTCTTGGGGCAGGAGTTTCTGATCCTCCCCTCCCAGATATTCAAAATAACCTGAGAGTTTGTTTATAATATGGACTACTAGGTTTCACGCTAATTCTGGTTTAGTAAACTTAAAGTGTGGGAGTCCTCCTTATCCGAAGTTGCATGGACAATTCAAATCCCCTGTGGAAATCTGGAAGCCCCCAGGGTGTGTATGAAATATCAAAACAAAACAACCTGTTTCATAGCTTTGAAGGGATCATCTTTGCTTTTTTCAAGTTTATTCTTGTATTTATTGTTATAAACTCCTCTGGGATATTTAAAATTACCACTGTGATTTCTTCTTTGTCTCAGAAATAATATTGAAATACATTTTAAATTTTCAATATTGAATAATGTGTCCATACTTCACTTGGTTCTATATTACCCCCCCCACATAATACTAACACCTTATAATCATAGTATCTTAGAGGCTTTAAAATTCAGTATTTATTTTTCCCTTTACAATTTCTAACTTAATTGTATTGTGGTTTATATATCATAATTTCTGGTTTGTTTTTTTAAGACAGAGTTTCACTGTGTAGTACAGCCTGACCTGGAACTTGTTGTATAGACCAGGCTACTCTCTATACCTTCCTCTTCCTCCCAAGTGCTAGTATTACAGGTGTAATCCACCATGCCTGCCTATCCTAATTCTTTTGGTAGGGCTTTAGACTGTGTTAGTTGTTCCTGAAGTTAATGTTTTAAGTGATTTTGAGGAAAATCTTGTTTATCTCTCTGTCTCTTATCTATCTGTCTGTCTCTCTTACACTCCCTGCCATGACGATAAGGAACTAAACCTCTTAAACTGTAAGCAAGGCCTGGAAAAAATGCTTTCTTATGAGAGTTGCTTTAGTCGTGGTGTCTCTTCACAGGGATAGAACAGGGATAAGACAACAGGGTTTTAGTTAATTCCAGATGCAGTCAAGTTGACCATGGAGAATAGCACCACAGCACCTAGCCTTTTTCTTCCTCGTGTTTGCCTTGATCCTCTTTTGATCCAGGCTTCCACTTTTAATCTCTCTGCGTATTAAGTTTTGGGGGTTTGTTTTTCTTTTGTTAAATTTTTAGATATGCACCTTTACGTGATTGTTTTAAATTGTATTCATTTAATCTGTTTTTTTAAGTAGTCTTTATTCAGATTTTAAAATATGTCTATCATCTTAGTGTTATCTTTTTACCTTTGTTCTTTATTTCATTTACATTTTTTTTTATTTTTATTTTTTGGTTTTTACGAGACAGGGTTTCTCTGTATTGTTTTGGAGTCTGTCGGTCCAGCCTGGTCTCGAACTCACAGAGATCCACCTGCCTCTGCCTCCCGAGTGCTGGGATTAAAGGCGTGCACCACCACCGCCCGGCCTATTTCATTTACATTTATTTATTCATTATTTAAGGAGCAGGGTGTGTGTATTCCAATCTGGTCTCAAACTCTGTACAGCCAAAGATGGCCTTGGACTTCTGATCCTCCTATTCCATCTAAGTACTGGGAGTACAGGGATGTGCCAGTATGCCCAGTTTACGCTGTTTTAGGGATTGAACCCACAGCTTTTCCAGGGCATTGGCCACAGTCTACCTTACTCAGCTACATTCCCATCCTCCCTTTTACTTTTTAAAATACTTTTTCTTATATTCTTTTAGGAAGGAAAAATGAATAAGACTTTAAAATTTTTTCTTTCCATTATATATACTTTGTTTCTATTCTTTTAGTAATAGGTCTTGAAATTTGCCAGGCAGGCATATAAATAGCTATCTTACCTCCTTAAAAATTATGCAAACAGAAGACCTTGGGCTGGGGCTGCAGCTCTGTGCTAAAGCACCTTCCTACTATTGAGAAGCTGTGGGTACACTCTCCCTAGCACGCAGCCCCTCCCACAAGAGACCTTCAGACCTTGGGCTGTATTCGCTCTCTTCTGTGTACTACTACTTGTGTTTCATGCCACAAACTAGACTATGGCTCATATATATGAGATACCTGTTTAGACTTATGTCACCATCTCTTCCTCTGGTATTATGTCTTTCTCCATTGAAACATATTATTTAGATACTATTTTAGTGAAAATCTTTCGAGTGACTCTGTCATCCAAAATACTTCCTTTAATAATTTAAATTTTGCCATTGTGAAAATGTGTAAACGTTCTTGAAATCCATCAGTGATTCTACCCAGGTTCAATGATAAAGATAACAGAAAGCCAAAGTTGGCATACTGTGTCCTTGAGTTTGTCAGGAGGTAGATTTTATATTTGGGCAGAGGTTTAGAAGTGAAATGACAGCTTTTCCTTTCAGTTATCCCAGCCGTTGAGACTGCCCCACACTTTCGTAAATGTCTCTGCTGCTCCAGTTTCCTCAGTGTTGATCTCAGAGAGTCAACGTAGCTCAAATCACCATGTTTTTTGTTACAGCTCAGAGAGTGGCAATGGTGTGAAAAGACTGAAACCAGACCCCGACCCAGATGACAAGGCTCAAGGTGGGTGTGGTCCCTTCATTTCTTCCATTCACTCATGATGGACAAGAACTGTAGAAAGGACAGGACTCACTGAATGTTATGTAAACAGGTGCACTATTCCTCTTTAAATAAAGCCTTAATCTAATTTGCCAAACTGTTGTATACTAAGCAGTAATTCCTACAATAAATGTGTCAGCTGCCCTACAAAGTAGTGTGTCATAAACCAGTAGAGCTGATAAATAACAATTGTGTTCTCTTAGGAGTGCTTATAAGCCCTGGTCAGGTGACCTGCTCACAAAAGGTTTTTCTGTCTTGCCAAATGTCAGGTTTCTTGATTTTACTTGTGGCAGACAGAATGCCCAGCTCCTGCTAGTGGTTGCATTGGATTGAGCCTAGAGTCTAATGGTATTCAGGAGTCTATTTTCCTTGAAGGTGGTGACATTTTATGTGATGAAATCTGCCTCTGTATTAAGTAGCATGAAACTGTAGGTTAGTTAAGGGAAGTGTTCTTGGGCCAAATGAAGAATTCAAGAGTCTGTTTTTAGTTCTACCTCTGGGACTGAGGATCTAAATCCAACTCAATTGGTCATCTATAAAGCAGGGTTTATATTTCTTTCTTTCTCAGACAAATAGAGGATGCTTTTTCAGCTACTTCTCCACAGCACCAGGTACCTGTATCTTTAAAAAGGTCATCAGTGAAGAGTCTGTTTCTCCCCACCCTCTTCCATCCACTTTCATTTCCACAGAGAAACACCACTGTACATTCTTTCTATTCTACATATGTATAAGCAGTTTATATTTATCATTCAAAATGTTGCCGCCTTCCTAGTCCTGCATTCTTGTACAAACTAGACAAGAAGTACCTTCCTTTGCTAGGAGAAAAGACCTAGAATCAGCCTGCCATCCTTGAAGCTTGCTTAACTCTTGCCCTCTGCAGGGGAAGGCTTTGCCTTGGTTTTCCAGAAGGTAACCTCGATACTGACAGAAATCAAGTTCCCCCACTGAAAACTGTCTTGAGCAGAGCCAACAAACATGCAAGGTGGCCTGTGTGCTCTCCATCTGCCTGCATTCCAAGAACATTCTCTATTCATGATTTTTCTCTGCTAACTTGATATGACAATGTGGCCAGGCAAAGGCAGGAGTTGGCAGGAAATATCCCAAATGGTGAGATCAGAGGGCACCATTTTGTTCTCTTTGGACAGTTAACTGCTTTTGGAATGAAATTTGTCAGAGTTGCAGTCTCTTTTCTCTCTTGAAACTTCCTAGATAATTGGAGGTTCTGGTCCTTTCACTTAAGCGATTCCAGTGTCACAATAGTCCAAATTCCTGTTGCCACTCTGTACTTAGCTGCATCCTTCCATAAGCCAGCTACGGCCCTCCTAGGCACTCTGAACTTGATTCTTTTATTCTCAGCTCTGTAAGCATTCTGTGTGGTGCATAATAATACAACAAAAGCTCAACCTACCCTGTGCCATATCAGGGCATGTCTTGCTGGTGGTAGGGTGAGCACCCTTTTCAAGGGTTTTCTATTTAGTGGGGAGTATAGCATCCTGCCCTTTCAGTAGGCATTGAGGCTTCTGCAGTGCTCTTCCTTTATTGGAAGGATATCCTGGGGATTATAGGATTGATGGGATTATTCTACTCTGATTGAAATGGCCAAGATGCTCTTTGAATTTTTTCTTGGTCTTTTTAAAACAATGTCTAAATAAGTAATATATGTGCATAATAACTTAGAAAGGGGGTTAAAAAGAACACAATAGAAAAGTAAGTCTCCTCTGCTCACTAGTCACCAGTTTCTTCCCAGGCCACACACTGCTACCAGTTTTTCATGTTTTTTGTTTTTTTGGGCTTTGTCATATATGTGCATGGGCATGATTCTGATTCTGTCCATATGTATGTTGTTCTGCTTCTCACCCTTTTCATTTGGCACATCTTAGAGACCATTCATTTCCAGTGAAGATAGACTTGTTTCCTTCCCCCACAGTCCTGTTGACGGATCCCAGGACCTTATGCACTTGGGTAGCACTCCATGCTGAGTACACTGAGCTGCAGTCCCAGCCCAGAGTCTTTATTCTTAGCCTCTTACCTTCTGGCCTAGTTTGCTTCTCTGTTGCTGTGATAAACCCCCAACCAAATCAACTTGGAGGAGGAAAAGTTTTATTGTACTCTTCAGTTCACAGTCCATCACTATAGGAAGTCAGGGCAGGAACTCGGCAGGAGCCATGGAGGAATGCTGCTTACTGGCTTAATGGCCATGGTTTTCTTATACAACCTAGGACCACCTGCTCTGGGGTGGCACTGCCTACAGTAGACTTGGCCCTCCTACATCTATCATTAAGAAAATGCCCCACAGCTGTGCCCACAGGTCAGTCTGATGAGGACAATTCCTCATTGAGGTTCCCTCTTCTCAGGTGATTAAGTTTGTCCCAGTTTGACAGACACTGATCAGCACAGCCTTTGTAGACACCTCCTTTTTGCTGCTATAAACAGTTCACAGGAACATCACTAATGTCGTGAGACTCCTTCCCTACAGAAACGTAAACATCTGTTCCCTTCTCATAAAGCCTCAACAACCAACCAAAGGAGTGTCCACCAGAATTCACCCCGGAGAATCAGTGCATTATTGGGCTTACTTACAGAGCATGGATGAGAGGTTACTGCAGGAGCATGGGAGCTCCCAAAGCAGCCATGCTGGGGAGTCTTCAGGCAGCATGGATGACGGCCTGCTTCCCTTAGCTGCATAGAGTCAGCTAACCTTCCCCAGTCTATGTACTCTACCACCTTCCAAGATACCCCTACACTCTACCCCAGGTGTAATTAGGGCTGAGTTATAGATGGCTGAGAGGGGTGACTGGAGTCTCCTTTTGTAACACAAGGATGACCACAACCTTCCTCTGGTTATCTTGTTTTGTTATGCTGGGACTTCTTCAGGGAAAGCCTTGGCACTGTGCCAGGGCCTTGAATGACCCTTCACCTTTAGAAAGAGTAGTCTAGTGTTCTTCCCTATCCTCTCCTTCCTGAAGGGAATGTCAACAGTCAGCAGGCCTGATTGGAATGGTCTCATGCAAGTAGACACAGCTGATCTGATGAAGATGGTGATTATTTTTTTGCTTTGAGGACCATGATCCACAACAGTTGGTTAAGTTTGGAGGTCATTGCCAAATTTCCTTGAGCCTATTGCTCACACATTCCTTCCTAATAATTGTTTCCTGTGTTTAGAACTCATGCTTCATTATTCTGTGAACTGCTTGTGTTATGGGTATTTTTTTAAGGCAAAGTGGCCATGCTGGCTTCACACTCGCTATGTAGCCAAGGATAATCTTCAGCTTCTAATCTTCCTGCCTCTATTTCCCAAGTACTGGGATAATAGGCATGCATTACTGTCTTAGGGTTTTATTGCTATGATGAAACACCATGACCAAAAGCAACTTGGGGAGGAAAGGGTTTATTTCCCTCGAACTTCCACATAACAGCTCATCATCAAAAGCAGTGAGGGCAGGAACTGGGAGGCAGTCGCTGGTGCAGAGCCCATGGAGGGTGCTGCTTACAGGCTTGCTCCTCATGGCTTGCTCAGCCTGCTTTCTTACAGAACCCAGGAACACCAACTCAGGGATGGCACCACCCACAATGGGTTGGACCCACCCCATCAATAACCAATTAAGAAACTGCCCTATGGCCAGATCTTATGGAGGCATTTTCTCAGTTGAGCTTTTCCTTCCTTCCAAGTAACTGGGTTGTGTCAAGTTGACATGAAACTATTCACAATTACCATGCCAAGTTTTTGCAGTGCTGGGGATCAAAGCCAGGACTTCATACCATGCTAGACACGAACTCTAGTAACTGAGTTATACCCCAGGGTACCCATTTATTATTTGATTGTCATCACCACCATCATCGTTATTATTTATAGCACTGGCTGGTGTTGAACTTGCAGCAACCTTCCTGTCCCAGCCTCCCAAGTGTTGGGATTATAGGTGTGTACTGCTATACCCTGCTCTTTGTAGTTTTTGGCTGGTGATGGATGGCTTCTTCGTGTTTTTCTTTTTTTGCAGTGCTAGGGATCAAACCTAGAGCCCTAGTATTGCTAGACAAATGAAAGTGCCTGCCACTGAATCATTTCCCCAGCTCCACAGCTTGCTTTTTGTTTGTTTGCTTGTTTCTAACAGACTAGAAAAGCTCTTTATATCTTTAAAGTTGTTAGCTTGTGACATTGGCTGTAAGCATTGCCATCGCCTCCTTGTCAGCGGTGTCTCCCAGTCTCCCAGTCACTGCTATCGTTGCGCTTCTTGAGATGTCTGAGCATTGCTTATCCCCAGCAGCTTCTCTGTTGCCTACTGGAAAGGAACAGACACCCGAGCTGCATTCTGTGTCCAGCAGCTGATAGCTCTTCTCAGTATAGCCTTGGAATCAGTGTCTCTTTTGCATTCTCTTAAGGTGTCTGCACAAGTGAGGTGTAGATTTATGGAAGGCAAACACCAAAAGCAATGTCCTTGTCAGCCTTCTGCTCCGCTAAGCTTTGGCATCACTTTAGTACAGCATCTTCTGGCGAAGGTTTAGTTTAGTTGGCTTTTTTGTTGGTGTTGTTGTTTGTTTTTGTGGAGGTTTTTTTTTTTTTTTGGTTTTGCGAGACAGGGTTTCTCTGTATTGTTTTGGAGGCTGTCCTGGAATGTGCTTTGTAGACCAGGCTGTCCTCGAACTCACAGAGATCCGCCTGCCTCTGCCTCCCGAGTGCTGGGATTAAAGGTGTGTACCACCAGCGCCCAGCATTAGTTTAGTGTTTTATACTCTGACCTGTACAGTTACCAACTTACTTGACTTCCCTCATCAGTAAGCAGGGAGAACACCTACATACAGGTTGTTGTTACAGTGTTTAAATAAGGTTGGAAACGTTCAGAGGGAAGAAAGAATGAGATGCTATTCTCAATTTAGGTTTGTTTGAATTTTTTAAAAAAGGATTTTGGTTTTTAATTATGTATATACATACATGTCTGAGTGTGTGTGCATGAATGCCATGCCATGGAGGCCATCGGAGGGCTTCTGGATCCCAAGTGGGAGTTATAGGTTGTAATGGGCTGCGAGTACTGGGAACTGAACTCAGGTCTTCTTCTGTTTTAATCTCAGCTATCTCTCCACATCCCTAACTTTCCCTTTAATCGTCAAGTTCTGCATGTTGCAGATTGAGGCCTTTGTCATTGGAGTAGGAAAATCCCTGTGCGTATCCTAGAAAGAAGAGTCCCAATATAGTGACATTTTACATGGTTTTAAATGTTTCCTCCAGTGGTTCTCAGCATAAAAGGACTAAAAAGCAAAAGTGATGAATGAGTTTCTGAGATGTCCATCTCCCATCATGGGAAAATGTCCCATAAAGAGCATAACTGTATGGATAATCTCTGCTAGTCAGTACACTGGTCTCTAAGCATGGCATCATAGAATTGTTAGTATGGCTCACAGTTGGTCTCTTAATCTAGCCTCCAGTTGAGGGCCACAGCAGTAGCTAGGGAAGACATGAGACCTGAGTCGCACTTGCTGTAATACCATGACTTGTGAAGACAGGAATCTAATTATGATAGGTGACTCTATGAGGCTTGTTCCTCGTCCTCAGAGCTGGTGGGTGGCAAGAGAGTGTGGGCAGACTCTGAGTCCCAACTTTGTTTCCTCTCCTCTATCAGCTTCCTCTCCTGTAACACAAAGATCTCCAGAGCCTCCAGTAACTACATAGAATTCTTCTGCAGCACTGGGGCTGCTTTGTGTAGAAAGCCTTGGCCTGGTGTCCAGGACCTGGATGACCTTTCAGCATTATGAAATGCGATGGCTGACTTCCTGCCCTCCCTTTTGCAGAGGCTCCATCCTGCGTGTCTCTTGGAAGCTCTTCTTTGAGCGGACCCTCCATCCACTGCCCATCTGCCGCGGTGTGCGTCGGCATCCTCCCTGGTTTGGGTGCCTACTCTGGGAGCAGTGACTCCGAGTCCAGTTCAGACAGCGAAGGCACCATCAATGCTACAGGGAAGATCGTCTCTTCCATCTTCCGAACCAACACCTTCCTCGAAGCACCCTAGCTCCTAACATTACCACAGAGAGCATCTCCCTAGAGGGTTAGATGTCTGTCCTGCCTTGACATCACCTTCAAAAAACTTTACCTGCTTCCTGTGCACATGTGGCATTTTAACCTAACCCAGAAATGTGCCACAGTCCACTTGTGGCTCAAACTCTGCTTGATTTTTCGGTAAACTCCAGTGCAGGTGACTGAACCTGCCCCACTGATATGAGGGGTTGGGTGCAGGCAAGTCTCAGAAATGCCACTGATGGTGCAAGGACTGGCACCAGCTGGCTTGCAAGGGTTCACTGTACCTTTTGCTTTCTTGTTTTTCTCCTTTCCTAATAGCACAGGAAGCAAGGACAGACATTATCTCAATACTCTATTATAGGGAAAGGGGCTGCTTGGTTCTACCATGTTGTATGTGGGCATAGAGAAAGGGGCTGACTAGCTGATGCCATGAGCTCTGCCCTAGAGTTAACCTTTCCTGGATGTTGTGTGACTAAAGATTGCAAACCAAACCCACAAGGCTATGTGCCACCCACAGCCCTTGAAGTGATAGTCTTCCATGTTGTTCTCCCGCCTCCACCAGCCTGAGGAGGTACGAAGGACCTGGTAATGACATGTCCATCTTCTGCCCACCTTCTCTCCCTGGAAAATTGTTTTGATTTTGTTTTTGAAATAAAAAATAATTAGTTTAAGATTCTAAACATAAGAGAAGCAAAGTTATTGAATCACAGCCAGAAGCTATAACTACTGATAGCTATGTTAAAGAGATGACTAATGCCTAGCAGTTTCTGGGATCCTCAGACTGCAGACTAGTGGGACTTGCCCGTTATGGCTTACTCTACTCCACCCAGGCACTGCTGTTTGTACATACAGAGTTGTAGCTTTTGACTGTGAAGGGATTTCCAGCCTAAGGTGCTGCCTCAATTTTCTTTTATCCACCCCAACCCCCCCCCCCCACACACACACACACTGTCCCTGGGCTTCCCAAACAACAGCTGGGCCGTGAGCAGCGGTCTTGCCTGTTTCTGTCTCATGGAGGAGGGAGGGAGCAGGTGTGCAGGACTCAGGTTGGGAGACATACCCGACAGTCTGTATGTTCCTGCTTCAGAATGAGCTTGAGTCCTCACTCCTGGTCCCGGTAGCCATTGTTTTTTCCTTCTTACGGGTGTGAGACGAGTGAGACACACCGAATGTGTTGGCACTGACATACTGGCAGGCGAGGAAGCTCCTGTTTTAACGTGGGTAGAGAGGGCCCTGGATCTCATCCAGCGCTTCCTCTCCCCTTCCAGTGTATTGACACTGGTGCCCACCAGCAGATGGTGGTTTCCCTTCACCCATCGTGGATGCCTGCAAGTGCTGCCATCTTTCCCTCTGCAGAGCCTCCCGGTGCTAATCTTGTCAGCTCCCTCCTGACAAGACACTGAGGTAAGACTGCAAGCACCTTCTGCCTCTTCGTGTCATTGTCGCTGCGACTGTGCTGTCATTCCTGCAGCATGCTCCTGTGTCCAAAGCAACCCCGAAGACATCAGTCATCAGTTTCCATGTAGCTTGGTTTTACTGAGGCCACTAATGTACCTCTGTTGATGTTGAGAAAAGGTGACAGGGTTGTGGGGTTTGAAGCTGTCAGAGCAAGCTCTTGCTCTATGCCACATCTCAAGCTTCCAGCTCTCCCATCATGTGCAGCTGAAACCGTCTTCAGACCCACGTTTCTTTCCCTCCTGACAGTCTGCTGTGTAGCCCAGGCTGGCTTACAAGCGTATCCTTTTGCTTCAGCTTCCTGAGGGCTAGGAAGACTGATGAGTGGCACTATGCCCAACTTTAGCCTGGTCTCTGTTTTTGGTGTCTTGGGAAAGCTTGAGTCACACTGGTGGCCTTTTTACCACAGTTCGTTGTGTCTAATGGTGTAGAAGCCTGTAATTGAACACCAGTTCTGTGCAAAGCAGGCTCCCAACAGGAAGCAGCCAGGGCAGACCTATGGTTCCCACCACAGAAGAACCGTGAGCAGAAACAGAAGGAAGCCCCAGTTTAACCTTCAGGATGCACCAGTCTTTCCTCTGTACTCAACATGTGCATGCCTTTCTTATAGCAAAACAACTCCTAAGATATCACACTGCTGTAGGCGTCGGGACAGGTAAGCTAGGAACGGCTGAACGTATACAGGAAGGCATGAGTAGGTCCTGTACAAACAGGACACTTTACAGCCAGGACCTGAGCATCTGCATTGTTGACCTCTGAGGAGGGTCTAGCTACCAGTCCCACCAGAGGTACTCCTGCCTGAGTAACTGGAATTTTACAGCTAGGTGAGAAACTAAAAAGGAGCCGGGTGGTGGTGGCACATGCATTTAATCCCAACACTCAGGAGGCAGAGGCAGATGGAGGCTCTGTGAGTTCGAGGCCAGCCTGGTCAAAAGAGAGTTCCAGGACAGCCAGGGCTGTTACACAGAGAGACCCTGTCTCAAAACTACCCCACCAAAAAAAAAAGAGAGAGAGAGAGAGAGAAAAGGATGGCTGGGATTGGTTTCTGTAAGTAAGCCTTGTACATTATCTCAGGTGGCAAAATTCTTACAGCTCTAAGACGGCTTGCAGAGAGCCAGCAGTGTTCAGCTGCCAGCTCTACCTGGAAGGCAAGGGACTGTCTGATTTACAGTGGTATTGCAGTCACTTCCTGTCATTTGTCTACCTGAGGAGAGAGACTTGGAATTCCAGTCACCTACTTTCCCTCTGTAAAAAGCAGGCAGGCTGATGGGACTGACCTAGACAAGTAGCTGACTTCCTGCCTGTACAGCTTCCAGAGGTCCCAGGGCCCAGTAGAAAGTTTGTTCCTCACACTGAGGTAAGACCTACCTCCCTACCCCTGCCCTTACCAGAAGTGCCTTTAGTCCTTACCACTTTTTTTTTTTTTCTCTGCTTTTGCTTCCCAGCTCCTGAATTCTTCCCTATTGGGCTCTTCCTTCTCACCTAAGGGAAAAGCTTGGTTTGCCTGAACCAGACCTGCTGTTCCGGCTATAGATAAGCCATAGTGACCAGCATACAAGCAGACAAGGTCCTCCACCTGCCCTGCCCCTAGGAAAGAGGAGTGACACCAGCTTCTTCCAGGATAATTGGTTATCTGTATTAGATGGCCCCGTGCTCAGGTAGGATGTCCAGAGTATAGCACATGCAGCACACAGGTTCCTATGGCACTGGCATTCCCCAGTTGTAGCTAGAACAGTAACATGTTGGGAGGGTCAGAGCTGGCTGCCAGCTCTACCAGCTTCTTTCTGTTAGCTCCAGTTAGCCAAATGTTAATTGCTTAGGCACACCGGGTTCCTTGGCTCGAATGTCCTTGCTGTGGGTATGTGACTCAGCTGTCATCTTAGGCCCCTTCAGAAAAACAAGTGGAGCTCAGTGGCAGCACACGACCATTTGGTTGGACTTGGGTGGCTTCCTGACATCCTAGCATGGCCAGCCTACTTTATACACGCTAGAATGGAATGCGAGTACTTCTTAGTGCTCAACACTTTGTAGTCACAGGTCGCAGTCACGCCTTAAGGACTCTGTCTCGGGCTGGCACTGTTCCCTTACCTGCCAGGGGAATAGTTTCAGAGGGAATTGGAACAGCATTGACAGGCAGCTCTGGCTCCAGCTGCAGAGGAGACAGGGCCCCATGGGGGACAGGCTAGTCGTCTGCTTCTGTGACACCACTGAGGCCTGCTAGACTTGTGTTTTTCACACTGCAAAGGCACTCTTGAAGCTAGTGCTTCTGTTCTATAGAGGAACCCCAGACTTCCAGAGGCCTAGTGACTTGCCTGGATTGCCCTGCTACATGACAATCAGAATTTTTATTTATGCCTGAAGGCTGGCTTTCTGTGTTTTTCTTGAGACTTGAACCTCATCAGTACACAATCACCTACCTGGGAGCTATTCACTAGACTCCCTAGTTGGCCAGGCCAGGGGTAAATGGGTTAGCTGGGTGTGGTGGCACACACCTTTAGTCCTCAGTCCCACCATATACACCATGGCTCCTGAGACTGGGACCTGCCTAGGTGCTGCCCAATTCCAGCCTGGGGAAGGGCCAGCCTGGGGAAGAAGGCTTACAAGTCAGTGGAGCAGTATAAGGCCATTAGCCCGAGTGGGAAAGCCCCTTGCAGAGCTAAGGGAGATGCTCGGTGTACCAGGATGCACATGCACAGGGTCAGCCACACTTGCACCCACATTCCGCCCGTCTAGTAGGCATGATGTGCTTGTTTCTGTCACGGGCTGTGGAAGGTTCATGAACAGTGATGGTACAGGAAGCTAGAAACATGGTGCTCAGTAGAAGCATTCCCAGAATAGTCACATGTCAGCCTGTCAAAAGGCAAGAGGACAGGTGTTAAGTGGAAGAAAAGAAGGAACAGGGAGGAGGGGTGTGTGCTGAGGCCCATGCTGCAGAAACAGCAGGGACAGATGTAACCTTGTTTAGGGTCCTGGAGCCGCAGACCTTACCCAGGACATACAGAGCAGGAAGTGGGTGGCAGCAACTGTTATGTAGCTGCAGTGAAGAGTGAGCAGACAGTGTAGGCCGAGAAGGAGCACCAAGTGTCAGCTGGGCCCAGGTGTCTCTTCATGTCCATACAGTGTGTGCAGGGTGCCGTGCCCTGTGCCAGCTTCACAGGGATTGCTACTGCTGACAGGGATCGCATGTCCCCAAGTAGAAGTGATCGCACTGACTCTTCAAGAGTAGGGACGGGGTAAAAGTCTAGTTGTTTCCTTTTCCAGATCGGTGAATGCCCACTGACCCTTACGATGGAAGGAGCTGACAGGCAACATTCGACACTCCTTTATTACCTTGGGTATAACAAGTAGAACACTGTCACAGTATAAAACCAGAGGAGGCCATCATACAAAGTATGCACTAGGGACACGGTCCTTCTCATAGCTAGTTACTTAGGAAAAGCCAGTTATGATTGTAAAAATTTTATTCTCTTTAATAACAATAATTCCACTAAAATTATACAAAGTACATTCAATACTTAGAGTGGCAGGAGGGTGGGGAGAGGAAGCCGATTTGTCCTGGAAGCATCATCAGTTGACTCTGACAAAGGAAGCCCAGCTGGGCTGGGGGAAGTTGGGGGTGGAGGTCCGGTTGTAAAAAATAAAAATGTGGACTGGTAAAAAAGGCCACCCACGAGGAAGCAGGGTGAACGTGCATGTTCTTGGGGGGCGGGGGCTCAGCTGGCATGCTGCTGCCGGGCATGGGCTCAGGCAGGCTCTGAGTTGGTGGGGGGTAGGTTTTTATGCTTGAAATACTGCACTACTTGCTGAGGCAGCTCCGCCAACACCGCTTTGGCCAGAGTTTCCTTTGCTGCCTGTGGGTCCAGGTGGGGAGAAAAAGGAAAGAGAAGGAGGATTAAAATGAGCAGAAGTTGGGAGATTTGCTGCCCCAGAGCTGTGATAGCAGGTGGCCATGGAGGACTTTAGGGTAAGAGAGTCAGGGCCCTCCGAAATGTGGCCCTCATCCCAGGCCAAACCCTAATCCCACCATTCACTGTCTTCCTTCATAGGCTGGAGGTGTTTGAGGAAAGACCTTAGAGGGTGAATTTGGGGGAAGAAATGGCTATTTTGCTCACTCGGCTGGAAACATTTGCTGACCGATAATTTGGCTATGAGAAGCAGCTGTAAAAAGTCACTACTGAGCAGCCAGGCACAGCAAAGTATCAAGTCACTGTCTCATATAGCAACA